CCTCCCTTGCTGGGCTCCCGCCCTAGACAGGGCCGGTCATGGGAATGGGAAGGGGGTGCTCCTTGAAGAGCCTCAACACTACATACAAATGAGTTATCCACACGGTCATAGATGGAATGAAAGAAGAGAATACTCATTTTATACCTTTAACCACAAATTGTGTTTTTTCCTGGTAAACACTATTACTCTACTGGTAGGGCATCAGGAATGAACTATTTTAACTCATAGACACAAAATGCCTTGCAATGTAATCATGCTTTTCATAGATTATTACAGGATTTATAAAAGTTTTAAGTGGTTTAATGTAAATATTTTAAATGTACTACCCATTATTTCTAGTCCTATTTTCTTCTTTTAAAAAAATACTAGAAGACTCAAAAATTGCAAGTGGCCAGGTCCTTCTCAACTTCTGATAGGCCCTGTGAGATCTTTTGAGGATAACATTGATGATTAAAAGAATATAGCCATGAAGCCTGCAAAATGTGAGACTATGTCTATTTTTAAAGAAAGTGTAGTAGAATCAGATGGTCTGGTTTACATCTTTACTCAATCATTTACTAGCTGTGTAACAGTGGAAACATTATTTAGTTGCTCTTAGCTTCAACTTCCTTCTCTTTAAAATGGGGATATGTTTCTACGTCGTAGGGTGTTGTGTGGGCTAAATGAAATAACCCATGTAGAAAACATCACACAGTAGGTTGGGGGCCAGTGAGTGCTGTGATTTGCTTGATTATATGCAAATAGGCAAGTGTCCCTGCAAAATGAAAATGCAATGTTAGAAAGCTGAGTGGGTTTGCATCTGTTTAGCTGGAGTAGTTTATTTACCTCCTCACCACCTGATAGAGATTTGAAGGGAGCAGCTTTCTGGAATGACTGAGGGTTTGGTGCTTCATTCCCACCAGGAGGCGAGTCTGGCTGCAAAGCACTTCACTGTGTGCCTTCCAGGAGGAAATCACTTCTTTCCAGGCCCCAGTGTCTGTATCTGAAAAGAAGGGAGTTGGATTGGATCCACTAATGTCCTGATCCACAGGACATTAGTCGTTAAGAGAGTAGACTTGGCACTGGACAGCCTTGGTCCACAGCCTGGCTCTGCCACTCACCAGCTGTGTGACCTTGAGCAAGTTACATAATCTCTCTGTATCTCAGTTTCCCCTTCTGTAAAATGGGCTTAGTGATCGATTCTGCCTTTTGGATTTGTTGTGAGGGATTAAGTGAGTTAATATAGTTAAAGATTCAAAAGAATATCTGGCATGTAGCAAGAACTCTATCAGGTTTAAATACTATTGTTGCTATTGCTATAATTTTATTGTTGTTATTAGATGTCCTCAATGGTCCTGTCCAGCTCTGATATTCTGTGAGAGTCTACGCTGCTTCAATAGACTGAAGCCTGTTGTGGCTCAACCATTCCTGGAAAGTGGAGTGGGAACTTCTCCCCAGCCTCTCCTTGTTGAGGGTCCAAAGGACCCCCTCCTGTAGCCCTTGGGCTAGCTGAGCCTGCTGGACTAGCCCCTTCCAGATTAGGGATTGGCTCCTGACTCGTTTCTCTGTCACTGAAAGCCAGCTTTCAAAGCATGAAATTGCCCTTGGGGTCTCCAAGGTCTTCTTTCCCATGCGGCTACATGAGATTCATTACACTGCAGGTGGGGTGAGAAAGAGATGAACTAAGGCTGACACATGGGCTGGACTGGAGATAGGGAGGAATACTGGCCAGGCAGGCAGCTGGGGGACAGAGTGGATGGTTCAAGGGAGCAGGTGGACTGGAGGGCAGCCGTGACAGTGGACAAAGAGGATGGTGGGAAGCACAGGAGGGGTGTTGTTTGTCCACTGGTCCTCCCAGCTCCATCATCCTGGGTAGGGACTGTGGTGAAATAGAATCTTATGCCCTAGCTCCAGGCCTAGAGAAGGCCCATAGGCTCTGAAGCCATCTCCACAGGGCAGCTCGTAGTCTTCTACCTTTCACAAAGACCCGCTCTGTGGGTGTTGGGTGGTGTATGTGTATGTTTATGTGTGAGCATGTTTGCATGTCTTTGGTTAGAACCCTCCTCTGCTAACTCATCTACATGGACCCCATCAGATGTGAGCGAGGACACCCTCCTCTGGAGAGCACCCTTAGTGACTCACCCAGCTGAGACAGAACTGGTTTTACACCAAGCCCAGAGGCAATGGACACCTGTGAATGAATTAAACTATCTCCTGGGTCACATGGACCGTTCTTCAAGTCTACAGGGCCTTGCCCATTCAGTCGGAGGACTGTGGAAGGTTCAAGTTGCCCAGGAGCTCAGAGACTATCTTATCCGACCCATGCCATCAGGAGTAAAATGGTCCCAAGAGAGGCCTTTATGGGGCCCGAGTCTCTTGGTACCTGCTATATAATGCATTTCATTCTTGTGGGGGCAGGAGAGCATTAATGAATTATGACCCTATCCCTACCCAAAGTCCCTGAGCCCTTTCCATAAGGCATTGAGGAACAATGAATAATGCACACAAATTCACTGCCCAGAGTTCTTTTGACATGGATATTCCCCTAATCAATGAAGGTAAGGTCTTGTCTCCTTTTTTTTTTTTTTTTGAGACAGAGTCCCACTCTGTCGCCAGGCTGGCATGCAGTGACGCAATCTTGGCTCACTGCAACCTCTGCCTCCTGGGTTCAAGTGATTCTCCTGCCTCAGCCTCCCAAGTAGCTAAGACTACAGGAATGTGCCACCACAACCAGTTGATTTTTGTATCTTTAGTAGAGACGGAGTTTCACCATGTTGGCCAGGATGGTCTCAATCTCCTGACCTTGCGATCCACCTGCCTCATCCTCCCAAAGTGGTGGGATTACAGGCCTGAGTCATTGCGCCCGGCCAGGTCTTGTCTCTTTATCTCCCAAGGGAAAGGAAATGTCGATCAGGAGGTGTAATAAGATTATACCCTGGGAAGTGGTGGTGGTGTTGGTGGATGGCTAGAGATCCAGACATAGCTAAATATTATTGGACATTACATTTGATGGAGGATCAAGTGGGGAGAGTGGTAAAAACTGCGTAACTCATCTCAGTTCCTTAGAGTCATGAAATTTCCATTTTATTGCAGTGATACGGATCCAAGTATGACATAGCACAGAGAGGAGTGGGTCCCCTAATGTGGGCTGCTGTTAAAACATGGAAAATGGGGTGGATGTAGTGGCTTACACTTGCCATTCCAGCACTTTGGGAGGCCGATGCGGGAGGATCATTTGAGCCCAGGAGTTTGAGACCAGCCTGGGCAACATGGCAAGATCTTATCTCTATTTAGAAAACAACAATAACAACAACAACAACAACATGGAAAATTGAGGCCAGGTAGCAGGACACACCTTGACTCGTGGATCTGCAAGCCGTCCCCAGACTTCAGGGAAGCGCACATGGGCTATCTACGGGGGCAACAGAGGCACCTGAAATGCTGAAGGGCTCTGCATTGGGCCATGTTCACAGCCTCCTCCTTCCCGCTCCTGGGATGATACAGCATTGCAGCTCAGGAGGCCCCTGGAGCTCAGGGTTCCACCATGAGAAAGAACACCCTGGGGTGTTCTCCTGGGACCGTACTCCTGGGACGTAGACTCCTGCTTCTCTCTTCCTCCTTCCTCCAATCCCTTGCATCTCTGCAGCCAGAATGAGTTCTTTTAAAAGGCAGATTGGATTCTGTCACCTCCCCACCTTAAACAAACTTTAGTAACCCTTACAATAGAGATCAAAACTCTTCAATGGCCCCCAAAGCCTACCTGTCCAAACTCAACTCTCACTGTCAGTCTTTCTCTTGCTGTCCAAGGTCCAGCCCTCCCCTCACACTCTCCATTGTCTCCTTCAGAGCCCCCACATCTGCCTGCCCCATTAGACTGCAAACTTCATGATGGGGGGGCCCTGTCATTCGCTTACGTTTGTATTCCCAGGGCTTAACACAGTGCCAGAGCCAGGGCTCAACCCAGGGTAGGTGTTCAACACACATTTGTTGAACAAATGAAAGACCAGCCCTGACACTCAGAAACACACAGGAAGGACACACAAATGCATGTGTGTGTGCATGCACGGACACATATACACACGCTTGCGCAGAAGACGTCAAACACGTCCCCTCTAGGAGCACATCCAGAGGTAGTGCCTGTAGAAATCGGCAAGATGCTAATGAATACGTGTAAATATTCAGTGTCCTCCCTTGGAGGACATACACCCCATTTCCCTTCTACTTCACCTGAATCCTGGATCAGCCTTGCTTATGGGTGGCAACAAAGCAGTTCTCTGTCCTTAAGGAGACAGAATGTGGCTCTTTAAAAGCACACCAAGTGGCCTTATCTCCTGGGCCTCACCTACCCTCCACTCTCCCTAAGAAAATCTGTTACCAGCCTTGTATTTCCAATTTCCACTTGCCATCCATCTGCCAACCATCTGCCCTGCCAACTTCAGCCCCCAACCCTGCTGGTCAGGTCACCCCTTCTATTCCTTGAAAAGCTCCTGAGCAAGCTCACCTTCTCCAGCAGGCCTCCTGACTACACAATTCCCAGGGTCTCCTCCTTCCTGGTCACTCGGTGGACTCTGTGTCTGTGACTCCATTAGTGACTGCCTTCCCTCCCACTCTCAAAGTTTGCTGCCTCTTTGGTACCACTTTGAGATGTGATTCCCAAGAGGGCAGCGGCTTTATGTATCTGTGTGACTTATGGTGTCAAAGGTCCCAAGGGACCAGCTTAGCTGAAAAGTTAAGGGTTTGGATGATGAAAATGTCCTTGCTAAAAAGGCATCATGGGGCAAATTTATACTAAGCCAGTCTGGTTAAGAGCTTAAAGCTCTGCAAAGCGAGGAGTTGGATGGACTGATGTCACAGGACCCTTCCATCTCTGACCTCCTCTGAGCTAGAGTGTTAGCCCTGGGGGGCCTTACCCTGCCAAGCCTGGACTGGAGGAGGAGGAGGAGGCGGGGTGAGTGGGAGGGGCGGAGAGAGCAGAGGCGCCTGCAGCAACTGACACCTGCTCCAGCCCTGCCTGTCTACTACCAGTCGATCCAGAGCCTCCAGCAAGCAGCAGCTGGAAACTGGGAAGAGAGAGCAGACAGGAAGCGGGAGGCCAGCTGTATACCCAGGTAAGTGGGCACTCACACCTGGCTGCCCACCCAGGCCAAGATAGGGCCGGATGGAGACACTAACCTGCTGTCCAGTTTTTCTATGCAGGAAGGGGCAGGCAGTGGGTAGGACATCTGCCTGGTGAACATTCCCTGGCTGGCCGTTCACACGCTGGAGTGCACCTGTATCCCCTCTAGGCGACTCCAGGATATCTGGAAGAGAGAATTTCAGTGTGTCCTGTCTGGGTGGTTCTGTCCCGGCTCTAATTTTCTGGACATGGCTTGACTTTGAGTGTGATACGATGACCAGATTAAAAATATCACTCGCAGTCCAGAAAAAGGACCTCAGGCTGGGACTTGTTATATTTTGGTTAGTAACATGGTCAAAGCAGTTGAGAGAACCCCATTTGGCTCTTCCTGCCTCCATTTCTACCAGTTGAGAGGTAGCAGGGACCAGCTGGAGGTAGCAGGGACCTGGATCTGCAGGATGGATCCGGGGAGGGTAGGGAGCCATAGATCCTGGAGAGGGGCCAGGGAGACACTGCCCCCGGATCCAGTGCTGAGAGTGTTGCTGGGACAGCTGAAGTAAGGACACAAACTGACATTTGCTTTTGGGAATAATTGGACTTCTTAAATGTGGGAATGAATTATGGAGGAGAGAATTCACTTCCTTTCTCATTTCTTCCAACTGAGACCACATCCCTCTAGTCTCCAACTCAACAGATCTCTTCCCCCATGTCATTGACTTTGTACCAAATCTGGCTTATTTTAGAAGATGGTGGAGCACCAGAAGTGGATGGCTTAATGTCACACCCCTAAGATCCCCCAAGGGCTTTGCTTCTTTTGCCTTCCTCAGCTGGGAGCTGTAGGCAGGAAGCTGGAGGGAGAAGAGTGGTATCATCGTTATCCTTCTTCATGTGTTACCAATAGCTGAGTAGCAGGATGATAGCTGCTCATGGTGATGATGTGTGTGACGATGGGGATGATGACTCAGATAGCTGTGTTGAACTCAGACTACTCCAGTGTGGGGTCACTGACTGCTGCCAGCGCACTTGCTCAGGAGGCTGCACTGAGGGGTGGGTGGGACGGGGGCCCATACAGCCCTCCCCCTGGCCATGGCCAGCTGGGTCCTCATCCGTTGGTGACTGTCTTCCCTCCCACCCTTCCTCGTGACTCCCTTCGGCATAGCGCCTGTGGCACCTGTGACCGCTCCAGAACGCAGTTGGCGTACCATGGCATTCCAGCACGCTAGGGTGCAGCGGCTGGGCTGGTGAGGGGCCGCCAGGGGCCAGAAGTGCCAGTGGGTGGGCCATTGCGAAATGGAACGATCTCCATGGGAGAGAGGAATTCGCTCTGTCATGTGTGATTCTATATTAATGACAAGGCTTTTTGGGCAGAAAATGGAGTCCCCAAAATGGAACCGCTTGGCCGTGGGCCAATCGCACAGAGGGTGGGACTGCTGGAGAACTCTTTCAAGACATCTCCCCACCCCAATTTATGGCTCTCATCCCATCCCAGAGCCAACCCCCTTCCTCTCCTGTGTGGGACTCCCCATTGACCATAACAGATGGATGCAATTAAGAGGAAATCGGGAGAGATGGTGGTGGTGACAGAATGGAAAATACTCCTGTTCATCTGACACTATAATTCACTGGCTTCAGAGGGGAGCAGATGGATTTATGGGGATCCTATGGGCCTGGGCCAAGAAGAACTTAAGAGCAGCAAAGTTGAGGACTCTCCCCTGCAGACCTTGTGACCGGAAGGATTCTATGAATGTGGGAGGTAGAGGACTTTGGGGTCCTGCCAGAAAATTTCAGAGTTGGGGAAGGAGCCAGGAGTCCCAAAGAATGTCCTTGGAGAATTCTCATTCCAAAGTCAATGGGGCAAGCTGTTACACAGCTGGAAGGATCCTGAATGGATCTGATTTCCTCAGGTTTGGGAAGGTTGTGTCTCACCCTCTGGGCAGGGTCATCAGGCCTGGGGTCCCACCAGGAGGCCAGGCCACCAGCACAGTGTGCAGGCTCAGCCTATGGTTCCCTTTACCTGGGAATGTTACCAACTGGGTAGCATCCTACCCACTCCCTGGTCTCTGGGAAATTGGTTTTGCAGGGGACAGGGAATTGCAGGAAACCAATCAGCGCCATTAGTGGGTTAGAAAAGCTCTTGGGGGCAGCAGCTTTTTCCAGCTCCCACCCCAGACATTGGCTTATGCACTGATGGTGTGGGAGGGGTGGGGTGAGACCAGGCTGGATCTCTCAAAAGCAATTCCATTTCTGTTCTCAGGAAAATAGAACTTCTACCCTGAGAGGAGTCAAAGAGGAGGCAGAACTATGGCAGGTAAGAGAACAAACCTCCCCTCCCCAACCCTCCCTGGCAATCCTTACCAGGACAGAGAGGAGGGAAGTGGTAGGGATCAGAGATTTCTGGGACGTGCCCATCTTGTTTGTTGTTGTTGTTGTTGCTGCTGATTTTGAGACAGAGCCTCACTCTGTTGTCCAAGTTGGAGTGCAGTGGCACAATCTTGGCTCACTGGAACCTCCGCCTCCTGGGTTCAAGTGATTCTCCTGCCTCAGTCTCCTGAGTAGCTGGGATTATAAGCATGTGCCACCATGCCTGGCTAATTTTTGTATTTTTAGTAGAGATGGGGTTTCACCATGTTGGCCAGGCTGGTCTCAAACACCTGATCTCACGCAATCTGCCCGCCTTGGCCTCCCAAAGTGCTGGGATTACAGGCATGAGCCATTGTGCTGGGCCTTTTTTTTTTTTTAAGAGTCTTGGCTTTGGATTTCAATTTGTTTTCCTGAATAAGGGGTGCAGAGCCCCCACATGAGCTCCCGCTTCCTGAAAAGGAGCCCTTTCCCACTCTCTCTTCCAAGCTTTTCTCCAGTGACACACTCAGGGTCTTCCCAGGGTGCCCCACCCACTTCCTAGAGGCTCCATTCACATTACCTGAGGGGTGCCACCAGATTCTCATTAGAGAATTAAAAAGCACTGTGCACAGGCGGGAGGTAGGACAAAAATCCTGCCCCAACAGTAGGAGCGAGAAGGGGCTTCTTGCTCCTTGGGCGAGTGGATGGATGCCCATTCTGTTGAAGGGTCACCCAATAGGGAGAAGGCGGAAGGCCCACCTCCCTCTCTCCTGCATTCTTCAGGAAAGTTCCGGAAGTCCCATATCCCTGGGGTGAGCATCTGGCAGCTGGTGGAGGAGATCCCTGAAGGCTGCAGCACGCCGGACTTTGAGCAGAAGCCCGTCACCTTGGCTCTGCCAGAGGGTGAGAGCCCAGAGGGGAGCTGTGGAGGGGAAGCAAGATTCCTGCTGTCCTACCTCCCAGGGGAGAGGGCTAGGGCACACATCTTCCTGGACACCCAGGCCCTACATCCATCACCAGACCATAGCCTGGCTCCCTCCTATCCTTAAGGGGGTACGTGCTTACCTGGAACCCTAGAAGTGACAAGGGACCTGGGGAAAAGAGTGGATAAAGAGAATGAAGAGACAACATGCTATTCCAGTGTGAGAAATATCTGGGGGGCAAGGATGGAAAAATGCTAAATTGGGGAGCAGGGAAAGGTTGTGGTGTTTTCTGGTCCCTCTCTCCTCTCCTCAAAGCCACCGCTGCAGATAGGCACTGTTAATACAGTTAATGTGATTCCTCCCAATCCTCGCTTCCAGGCAGCAACACCCGCAGTGGCTCACAGGCTGGGCTCAAGAAGGCCCTTCTAGAAGGCCACATAAGAAAGTGCCCAGAAAAGTGGTGGGAACAAAGGCTTATTGGGGAAAAAGTGGAAATTGGTGTTCTTTCCCCAACACACATCCCTGCAATAAATTTTAGTTAATAGCATCCTCGTAATAAGAAAAAGAATGGCATTTTATTTTTCTTTTTTCTATTATTATTATTATTATTTTATTATTATTATTTGAGACGGAGTTTTGCTCTTGTTGCCCAGGCTGGAGTGCAATAGCTCGATCTCAGCTCACTGCAACCTCCGCCTCCTGGGTTTAAGAGATTCTCCTGCCTTGGCCTCCCAAGTAGCTGGGATTATAGGCATGGGCCACCATGTCTGGCTAATTTTTTGGTATTTTTAGTAGAGACAGGGTTTCTCCATGTTGGTCAGGCTGGTCGCGCACTCCCGACCTCAGCTAATCCACCTGCCTTGGCCTCCCAAAGTGCTGGGATTACAGGCGTGAGCCACCGCACCTGGCCAAAGAATGGTATCTTATTTTTCTAAATCTGGAACAAGGTAATGAGAAATTGGGATGGGCCCTTGGGCCTTTAGTCTATATTGCTCTCTACTAAGATGTTCCTGGTGGGAGGCTGAGGGATTCTTTGAGGGCAGGCAGTTCCCAGGTCTCCATGCCAGGCATGGAGCTTGGGGTCTTTTCTGAGGTTGGAACCTATGTCTCAGCACCAGCTCCTTTGGGCACCAAATAGCCATTCTTTCCCGTGGTTGTGATTCTTCTTCCCTCTAGAGAGTAGGAATGGGAAGGCAACCCACAAAAATCTCTCTTTTTTTTGAGATGGTGTCTCACTCTGTCACCTAGGTTGGAGTGCAGTGGCGTGATCTCTGCTCACTACAACCTCTGCTTCCAGGGTTCAAGCAATTTTCCTGCCTCAGCCTCCCAAGTAGATGGGATTACAGGCACGCACCACCACGCCTGGCTAATTTTTGTGTTTTTAGTAGAGATGGGGTTTCACCATGTTGGCCAGACTGCTCTCGAACTCCTGACTTCAGGCGATCTGCCCACCTTGGCCTCCCAAAGTGCTGGGATTACAGGCGTAAGCCCCTGTGCCTGGCCGGAACTCACAAAATCTCATTCCCTTCCCAGTCTTGGCAGAGCCTTCAGACTCCTTGCTCACCCACTCTCAAGAAAAGCCCCTCTCCCCTAAAGCCCTGCTGGCCTCCCCTTTCACCAGGGCCAGTCCACCTATCTCTTTCCCTCAAGCAGCCCAAGCTTCCGCAATACAGAAAGAGGAAGGACTGCCCTCTGGGTGCCTGGAATCTGCTGCTTTCCACCTGCCTGTTCCAAGTCCTGAGTCAAGGGGACCCAGGCCTGGCACCCTTTTTGGAAGGGGCTGTTGAAATACCTAGATGAGGAAGATGATGTAAATTAGAATTTAAATAAAGTATACAGTCACCTTCTCCCAAGTTGTCAGTCTTCTTGCTCGTCTCTTCCTGCTGCAGGGAAAAATGCTATCTTTCGGGCTGTGGTCTGTGGGGAGCCCAGGCCCGAGGTGCATTGGCAGAACTCCAAAGGTGACCTCAGTGACTCCAGCAAGTACAAGATCTCCTCCAGCCCTGGCAGCAAGGAGCACGTGCTGCAGGTAATAACCATAGCTCTTCCCCTGACCAGGGTCTATTCATCTTTTCCCATCCCCTTGAAGATCTCTTTGGCAGCCTTCAGGCCCTAGAGGAGTAAGACATACTCCTTGTTGAAGTTGAATCCATTCAACTCCATCTCGTGACTCAAAGTTGACTGAGCCAAGAATGGATCTGGCAGGCTCTCAGATACCTCTGCTGATAAGCGGGAAGGTGGTGTAGATTGGAGCTTAAGAGCTCAAGCTCTGAAGTCAGACTGCTGGGGTTACAATCCCAGGCCCACCACCTTGGCTTTGGAAAGTCACTTTACTCTTTCTATCTCTGTCTCCTCATTTGTAAAAATGGGGTAATAACAGGACCTGCTTTAAGGAGTTGTTATGAGTTGTTGTTGTTGTTGAGACAGATCTCGCTCTGTTGCCCAGGCTGAAGTGCAATGGCATGATCTCAGCTCACTGCAACCTCCGCCTCCCGGGTTCAAGCGATTCTCCTGCTTCGGCCTCCCAAGTAGCTGGGATCACAGGCATGCGCCTTCACGCCCAGCTGATTTTTGTATTTTTAGTAGAGAAGGGGTTTCACCATGTTGGCCAGGCTAGCCTCGAACTCCTGACCAACGGTGATCTGTCTGCCTCGGCCTCCCAAAGTGCTGGGATTACAGAATGAGCCACTGTGCCTGGCCAGGAGCTGCTATGAGGATGAAAGTTTTATGTAAAGTGTCTAGCTAGTGCCTGGCCTATAGTGAGTACTCAATCAATCTTGGCTAATCTGAGCAATACTATAAATACTAACCATGGGATACCTACTATGTGCCAGGCCCTACTATGTCACAGGGGCTAAACATTTGACATAGATTATATATTTAATTCTAATCATTCACCACTTTTTTGAGGAATTATATTCCCATCTTATAAATGAAGAAACTGAAGTTGAGAGAAGTTAGATAACTTGCTCAAGGTCCCACAGCCAGTAATACAGGACAGAGACTGTTTTCAGGCCCAGATCCATCTGACCCCAAAATCACGCTCTTTCTACTATGCTACATTGTCTCTGATGGCAAAGAATGGGTACATCCACCCTCTGTCCCGAACCAGGTTTTTGTTTTGAGATCTGTCTTTCCTGATAAAGACTATGAGCTCCATAAGGACTAGAACTATGTCTTAATCACTTTATACCCCCAACACATAGCCGTGTCTAGTAAATGGAGGAAGGGGACATGGTAGCCCTGCTCCTCTGCCCTTGGCCTTTCTGCAGATCAACAAGCTGACAGGTGAGGACACGGATCTGTACCGCTGCACAGCAGTAAACATGTACGGAGAGGCCACGTGCTCAGCGAGACTCACCGTCATTGAAGGTGGGCTTTTCCCTGAGCTTGTCTCATCAGTGCACAGGGCAGAGAGCCCACAGAGGAATCAGAGGCCCCGTGGCTAGTGAGGGAGGGGAGCAGAGGGGAGGGAGGCCCACTGAGGCTGCCGCCGCTGCTGCAGCCCCACCTTGTGCTGGGCCCCCGGCTTCATCCACATGCACACTGAAGTCTGCATGTGTTTAAAAAGGCACACCTTGGCAGATGCTCTGAAGGATATTCTCTTGGCCCAGTAAATGAGCAGGACCTGAAAGCTGGCTTCTAGTCCTAGAGCTTCTACTAACTCATTGAATGGGCTTTATTTTCCTCTCTGGGTCTCAGTTTCTCCACCGTGCAAAGGATATTTGGATATTTTGGACAGGCCTATGCCAGAGTTAACAAACAGGTCACACAAAGGCCAAATTCTCCCTCAGACATGTATTTGGGCATGCGTGGTGTTTGAAATTTTAAATCTTGTCAACCTGTAGTAATTAAAAGGTAGATATCTCTTGAGGAAGCAGGTCTAGTCTCGCCGTTGATTATGCTTACAATTGATCTGCCTACAAGTAACAGAAAATCCTACTAAGAGTAGCCTAAGAAATAAAGATATTTCATTCCTTCACATAAGAAGTTTTGCGAGTGGTGTCCAGGGCTCATACCACAGCTCAGGGCTGCCATTAGACAGCTGATTCCTTTGGTCCCACTGCTCTGCCATCCTTAGCAGATTGGCTTATCACCTCATGGCCATAAGAGGGCCATGGCAGATCCAAACCTAATCCATGTTCAAGGTAGGAAGGTGGAAGAGGTGGCCCAGGTCCATCTGCCTCTCTTATTTTTATTTTTATATTTTTGAGATGGAGTCTCGCTCCATCACCCAGGCTGGAGTGCAGTGGCGCAATCTTGGCTCACTGCAACCTCTGCCTCCCAGGTTCAAGCCACTCTCCAGCCTCCCCTGAGTAGCTGGGATGACAGGTGTGCGCCACCACGCCTGGCTAATTTTTGTATTTTTAGTTGAAACAGGGTTTCACCATATTGGCCAGGCTGTTCTCAAACTCCTGACCTCAGGTGACCCGCCTGCCTCAGCCTGCCAAAGTGCTGGGATTATAGGCATGAGCCACTGCGTCTGGCCTTTTATTTTTTGTTTTTTTGAGACCTGTTGCCCAGGCTGGAGTGCAGTGGTGTGATTATGGCTCACTGCAGCCTTGACCTCCCAGGCCCAAGTGATCCTTCCACCTCAGCCTCCCAAGTAACTGGGACTACATGCATGCATCATCACACCCAGCTAATTTTTTGATTTTTTTTTTTTTTTTTTTTTGGTAGAGGTGGGATCTCCCTATGTTGCCCAGGCTGGTTTGGAACTCTTGGGCTCAAGCTATCCTCCCACTTTGGCCTCCCAAAGTGCTGGGATTATAGGAGTGAAACACCACGACCAGCCCATCCACCTTTTTTATAGAGGAAGCAAAGGCTTTCTCAGAAATTCCTGGAGCTCATTGGTCAGGATGGTGTCACATGAGCACTGCTAGTTGCAAGGGAAGCTGGGAAGGCGAGTGTTTAGCTTTTTCAGCCTCTCTAGTGGAAGCAGATGATGAGGATTACCAATGGCTGCAGGATTAGCCAAACAGCAGTGTCTGACCTATTTGGTAATATTGGGCTTATACCCTGATATGGCAGCTCTCAGGTGGAGTGAAAGAGCAGCTGCCCCTTTAGATACTCTTGAGTTTGTTGTGGTTGCCAATGTCTGCTTCACGCATTTCTGCCGCCTCCCTGGCCCCTGTGGACACATGACTGGGCCTCCCCTGCATGAGATGATGCTTAGGTTGGTCCCCTTGGCCATGGGTAAGGCTCTGGGGTAAAAAAGTTTATGATGGACAGACCCTCCATCCTGCTCCATCCCTCTTGCTGGGATCATCCATGCCTTAGAGGACAGCGGGGAGAGCAGGGCTCTGGGACTCCATCAGTTTCTCAGGAAGACTGTCAACGTGTCTTACTTCCCTCCCTGCTTGTCCACATCGACTCCTTCCTCTCCTCCCTGGATGATCCAGTTGGCTTTCGGAAGAATCGGAAGAGGCACAAGGAACCACAGGAAGGTAAGTAGATTTGTCAGAAATCTCCTTGGGGCCTGTGGGGGATAGACTACTCCTTTCCTGGTGTTCCCTGCCTGGTTGAGCCACCATGCATACCTTGTGGGTCACCACCAGTCTTCAGGACAGCCCCTTTCAAAGGCTTGGTTGTCAGCATGGGCACACAGAAAAGCCCTGCATCAACCCTCAGGCATCCCACCTGGGACTGAGGCCTCATTCCTGCTCCTTTTCCAGACCTCAGGAAGGAGCTGATGGACTTCCGGAAGTTGCTGAAAAAGAGGTGGGTTTGGGCCTGTCCATGAGGGATTTTGGAGCCTCCCATAGTATTCAGTCCCTACTATTTCCATAAGTAAGTTGGGCTTGGGCCGCACCTCCACCCAACACAGCAGGGAGCTGGACTGCCTGTAGCAGATGGGAGGATGGGAAGGGGACTGAACCGGGAATTCTGGATCTAGCTCTGCCATTTCAAAGCTCTATATCCTTGAGTTAATCATCTCTCCTCTGATTTCCTCCTTTGCAAAATGTGGTGGTCCACTGGAACAATGATGTAACTTTTTTTTTTTAAAGCAACAGAACAATGCAACACCCACTTTCCCCACACATCTTACTTAGAAATCTACAATACAGGTTGTTAGAAGCATTTCTCCTGAAAGTTGTGGGGTGAGGCTGAGGCTCGCCCCACCCATCTCTGAATCCTTCTGGCCCCAAAAGTGGTCAGTCCCAGAGATTCCAGGCTCTGTATTTCCTTGAGTGCAGATAGAGCAGCTTCCTAGAACTACTTGGGGCACCAGAGCCAGGTGGCCAACAAAGGAGCAGGGGTTCCTCTGGCCTCTGACTGGCTGGCCTTGCTCCCCAGGGCCCCACCAGCCCCTGAGAAAAAGATAGACCTTGAGCAGGTATGGCAGCTGCTGATGACGGCAGACAGGAAGGACTACGAACAGATCTGCATGAAGTACGGCATCGTCGACTACCGTGGCATGCTGCGCAAGCTACAGGAGATGAAGAAGGAGCAGGAGGACAAGATGGCACAGGTGCCTCACTCCATGGCCACCCCTCACTCCATGCCCACCCCACACATCTGGACCATAGGTGCCTCACACCTGGAGGTGGGCTTGGAGGCAGAACTTAGGAAACCAAGTATGATCGAGGGGCCTGTCTCCATCTAGTCCCCAATGGGGTATCTGGCTAAGGCCTTGGGATTCCAGGTTGGTGTCCTGCCTTTGCAACCTGGTTCTGATACTTACTAAACTCTGGAGCTTTGGAAGAGTTAGGGCCTCTGTATCTTGGATTCTTCATCTGTAAAATGGGAATTATAGTCATGCCTACCTCGCAGGGTTATTGGGAGGATAATGAGAGAATGTACTTAAAGTACTTAGCTTAGTGCCTGATACATGGTAAGGGCTCGATTTTTGCTATCATCATTGTCACCAGATTGGGGGGGGGCGGTACCTCGTTGGTTTATTTCTCCTTTTTTTTTTTTTTTTTTTTTTTGAGATGGAGTCTCACTCTGTTGCCCAGGCTGGAGTGCAGTAGCACAATCTTGGCTCACTGCAAGCTCCGCCTCCTGGGTTCACGCCATTCTCCTGCCTCAGCCTTCTGAGTAGCTGGGACTACAGGCGCCTGCCACCACGCCCAGCTAACTTTTTGTATTTTTAGTAGAGATGGGGTTTCACCGTGTTAGCCAGGATGGTCTCAATCTCCTGAACTCGTGATCTGCCCGCCTCGGCCTCCCAAAGTGCTGGGATTACGGGCGTGAGCCACTGCGCCCAGCTACCTGGTTTATTTCTAAAGGCTTTCATGGAAGGGAATTTTACAGTTCCCATTAGCACTCTGATCCCAGAATCTTATCAGCTGTACAGGAATTTCTTCCCTGTGTCTAACTTAACTATAACATAAGTCTAATTTTTCTTCTGAAAATAGAAAACAACTCGTTTTCATTACCCTGAAAATAGTATCTTATCCCCTTGAAGGATAAGTTTCCTTACACCTAGGGTCTCAGCCTTCTCTCCTCAAAGCTTTCTCATTGGCTTTGACACAGGACCCAGCACAGAGCTTTGCACACAGTAGGTGTTCAACTAATGTTTGTTAGAAGTACAGATGAATTGAAATGCCCTACTGTGTTCTAGCACCTGGGCACCTGGGGTCTTTTCTTGGTTGTCTTCTTGATCTGATCTCTCATCTCGGAGAATTTCCTTCCTTGAGGGGCTTTTCCCCACTTGTAAAAGGGGCCAATGCATGCTCATCTGGGACGCTGTGGGCCTGGGATGGTACCAGGACCTATGAGGGTTTGGAGTGCCCCGAAGAGAGAACTTCATGAACTCTCCTGGTGGGTTTGTCTGCTTTGTAGTACATCAACGCCATCTCCAGCTTAAGACACATCAGGGTCACCAAGGAAGGGATTGCAAAGTTCGACCTGGAGCTGGATCTCAAGGATTCTCAGAGCAAGATTTACCTGTATAAGGTGAGGCTGGAGGGGCTATGAGTGGGGGGATCTGGCAGGGATGCTGCAGGTCTAGTGGGGAGAGAACTGTGGGTACCCTGAATTCCTCCATGGGAACAACCAGAGCACACAAATGGTGAGCCCCTCATCCCATGGAGTTCCTGGTTGGAGTTGGGCCAAACCCTGGTGTAGACCATCCATCCACAAGGACTTCTTATCTCACACTGAGCAACCAGTCTCTCCAGCTGGGCCTGTGACTCTCTGTAAATTGTGTCTAACACCAGAGCATGGGGGTGAAAAGAGGGTTCTGAGAAAGTGCACCCCTTTCCATCTGAGCTTTCTTTCCAGAGACTTCATACATTCCTACCTGGGCTCTAGGAGTAGTTACCTGCCAACCAGATGGGGGCAGCGGCAGGTGGGGAGGAGCTGGTAAAATTTGGCTAGTTCTGTAGCCAGACTCATCCAGCTTCATCACTTATAAGCTGTGTGACCTCAGACAAGATACTTATCTTCCCCGTGCCTCAGTTTCCTCATTTGTGAACTGGGGATAATATAGGACCCGCCTCACGGTGTACTGCAGCGCTAAATGACATCATGCATGACTTGCCCCTCCCCTCACCTCTCTGCTCATTCCTGCTTCTCTTCCCCTTGTCCCTCTGTTCCTGCCCCACTGGCCTCATCCCTGTTTCTTTGCCCCAGCTGTTCCCTCTGCTTGGCATGCTCATCCCTGATATCAACAGGGCTCATTCCTTTATGGCAGAGAGCCTTCCCTTGGCCACTCTGTGTGATTCCACTATGTCCCTCCAGCCCCGTCCTAGCACTCAGGAGCCCTGGACCCATATCTACCTTTTTGTTCCCTGGTTCTCTCTTCTCTTTATTTCTCTCTTTCTCTTCCTTCTTTCCTTTTTTCCTTTTCTCTCTCTCTCTTCCTTCTTTCCTTCCTTGCTTCCTTTTTTCCTTTTCTTTCTTTCTTTTTCTTTCTTTCCCTTCCTTTCTTTCTTTCCCCTTCCTTCCTTCCTTCCTTCCTTTCTTTCTTTCTTTCTTTCTTTCTTTCTTTCTTTCTTTCTTTCTTTCTTTCTTTCTTTCTTTCTTTCTTTCTTTCTTTCTTTCTTTCTTTCTTCCCTCTCTTTCTCTCTCTTTCTTTCCTTCTACAGGGTCTTACTCTGTTGCCCAGGCTGGAGTGCAGTGGTGCAATCTCAGCTCACTGAAACCTCTCCCTCCCAGGTTCAATCAATTCTCCTGCCTCGGACTCCCGAGTAGCTGGGATTACAGGTGTTTGCTACCACACCCAGCTAATTTTTCATATTTTCAGTACAGATGGGGCTTCACCATGTTTTCCAGGCTGGTCTTGAACTCCTGACCTCAAGTGATTCACCCGCCTCAGCCTCCCAAAGTGCTGGGATTACATGCATGAGCCATCACGCCCGGCCAGTTCTATTTCTTTCTAACATAAATTATTTACTTATTTATGACATTTATTATTTATATTTTTCCCCCATAGGATTTTAGCTAGTGAGAGCAGGAATCTTTTTTTAGGCATTGATGTGTCCTAAGTACCTAAAACAGTGCCTGGCACACAGTGGGCCCCTAATAAGTATTAGCTGTTGTTAATATTCAGCAAGTAGCAAACCTATCTAGGGCTTAAAGTAGGTATGCATATAGATTACTGGGTTTGTAGAGCCTTATGGATATCTGATGGTATTCTCTGCAAGTTCCTGTTGGTGAATAAGTTGAGCTAGGGCCCGTGGGCCATTGGTGTCATGTCCAGCCTCCCCTGCTATCCTCGCAGGGCTGCTGGGGAGTAACTCTACTCATAGCCTGAGCTGGAATGTCAGCAACTTTAGGTGCCCCTTTGTATAACACTTGCAGACTTTTCACTCCATGGACATTCCTAGAGCATGGATTCCCATCCAGCTCACAATCCCTGTTCCCATGTCCTCCAGGCCCTGCTGTCCACCCCATCCCAGCTCCTCTATGGTTCCAGGAATCTGTTGTCTGGTGATTGGGCCTGTGGGAGAAAACTGCTGGTTATAGCCAGAATGGGACTGGGGCAGGAAGCACTGAGGAGCCGCTGAGGCCCACCTCCTCTTCCTTTTCTGGCCTTAGGATGGTGAGATGATCCCCTATGGCTTCAACAACCAGACCAAGCACTGCCTGCGCCGGCTGGGAAAGCGTTATGAGTTCCAGATCCAAGACTTGAGGCCTGAGGACTCTGGCATTTACCAGGTCAAGGTGGAGGATGCTGTGGTCTTCTCCACAGAACTGGAGGCCAGTGGTGAGTGGTCTACACTGCCGAAGTTGGAGTCGGGGAGATCTGTGAGAAGTGGAGTCCATGTTGGTGCAATGTGTGTGTCGGGGGGTAAATGTGATGTGGCCCCAGCTGCAAAGACAACTGGGAGATGGACACATACCTAGATGGCCAAATTTTGATGCTTTCTGTTTTCCAAAGCCTTGGTGCAAGTTATCTCTCCTGGTGCTGAGCTGGGTTCTACTGAATTACCGTCACAGACACAGAACATATGTGTCATGCCTCTGCTCAGACCTTCTGCAGCCACCAATTATTTTCAGATCAGATCCAGACTAATTGCATAGCCTCTAGAACTCCTTTCTGTTGCATGTCCTTATCTCCCACAAAGCCCTAGCAAGAATCTCTGGGTTAGGCATCCTCGCGCTCCATACAGACCTTTCCTTTTCTGCTTCCTGTATTCCTTCCCTATCTAGGAACTGCCACTCCTCCTTCATCAAACTCTGTGCCATCCCCATGAGTACCTGTGTCCACATCACTCTCAGAGCAACCTGCCAGCTCAAGGGGGTTCTTGAAAGGACAAGGAGAGGCCTGGGGAAGGGAGCATGTCCTAAGAACATGGCTAAATCAAGGTTGGGGGAGAGAAAAGGAGGTTATGTGTCCCAGCAGTGGGGAGGTGCCCAGATGGGACTTTGAGAAGCCTGAAAACAGTGCAGTTTGGGAAAAGGAGTGCGGGTTTGGGAGTCAGCCAGACCCTGGTGTGAATCTTGGTTTCTCTTAACTGCATAAGACTGGAGCAAGTTATTTAACTTTTTAAGCCTCAGTTTTCTCACCTGTAAGAAGAAATTAATAATACTTACCTGGGGGTAAGTAATTATTACTTGGATGAATAAGATAAAGGATGAATAAGATAAAGTACTGGCTCTTAGCATAGTGGTTTTCTTCATGCATCCACCTTGTCCCCAAATAGAACTTTTGGGTTTAGAAGTATGGAATCCTAGAGCTGAAAATAAGCCTCATTGCTCATAATTCTAACCCCTCATTTTATGTAGGGGGAATTGATACTTGAGGTCCAGAGGAGACCTATCCCAGGTAACACAGGGAGTTTGTGGCTGAGCTGGTCTAAGCCAGGATTTCTGAACGGCCAGCCTTGCCGCCTCAGGTCACACTGTGTCATACCATTAAGCTGATATCCCCATTCTTGCTTCCCTGGCAGCCATACCCCCAAGAGTGGTGGTCCCACTGGCGGAGACCCACTGTGAGGAGCACGGTGACGCAGTCTTCGAATGTACCTTCTCCAGCCCCTGCCCTAGTGCAGCCTGGCATTTCCGGCACCGGCTACTCCACCCCAGTGACAAATATGAAGTGTTTGTGTCCCCCGACGGGCTGACCCACCGGCTGGTGGTGAGGGGCGCCCGTTTCTCAGACATGGGCCCCTACTCGCTGGGCACTGGGCTCTACACTTCCAGCGCCTGGCTGGTGGTTGAAGGTGAGTGCTTCACATCTCTGTCTTTCTCTGCCTCCAGGGAAGACCTCGGGGCTGCAGAGGCATGAGGAAGGCAAGGCAGTGGGATTTCCTCTGGTCAGCCATTTGCTCTGGAACGATTCTCTTGCTCAGAGAGAATAAGGAAGGCTCCTTAGATTATTCTCCACCCATTGCTGTGCAGACCTTCATGGCCAACCCAACCCTTCTCAGCTGTGTCTGCTCCACTGGGTCTCTTGGAATTACTCTGGGGCACAGATGGCTCTAGGGTCCTAGGCAGCCTTGGGACAGTGGCCCAGGTTCAGTCTGGGTGAGAAGGCCCTGCATCAGACCAGAGCGCACTCTCAAACCTCCCTGGGGATTGAAATTTGGGTTCAAGATGTTCCCAGGAAAGTGTAAATTGGACATAAGTTAGGCAGGTGATAGAGCAAGTTGATATTTTAAAAACCATGCACCTGCTGCGGCAGTTTGATAAACAAATGACTTTTGGCTTATGCATTTTCTCCAAAATCCTCAAGAAGCCTGTAGCAGGGTGGCCTGTGGGTATGGGACTGGGGGAGGTGGTGATGGGATTCACCCATCCATCCCTGGAACACCCTGGCTGCCTTGCCAGGTGGTCAGCTTGCTTCTCTCCTGGGGAAGCGTAGGTCAGGCAAGCAGTTGGGCTCAGGCAGGTGCTTTGGCCGGATTTAACAGGAGTTTTGGTACTTTCTCTTGTCTCTCCATGTGGGCACTGATCTTCCATATGAATAAACACTCACCGAAGCTGGGAAGGATAAAGACCTTCAGTCCACAAGTGCTGACCACCAACTACAGAGGCAAGGAGCCCAGGCCTCAGGAGCAGAAGAGTCTGGGAGCATCAACAGCCAGGGAGAGAAATTCAGAGAGCAGGACCCCAGTGGGGGCTCCCTTGAGGGGGCAGGGATGGCTTCTGGGTTCCAGCACATAGCCAGCCCAGACAGGGATGGCCTTGGCAGACATGGCTACTCCTTGATGGAAGACAAGGGGGCAGCTGTCTCAGCCTGGGGCCCTGGACAGGAAGGCGAAGGCTTTCTAGAAGCAGAGGGAAGCGGAGTCACTCTTCCCAGGGAAAGTCAATCTGGCAGAGAGGGAGGCTGGGCTGAAAGCCTTGCAGAGAGGCCCTATCTACAGGGAGAGAGCTCAGAGTCAGGGTTGGGCCTCCCAGAAAAACGACAGCAAGATCGTGGCAGAGACAGCAACGGTGATGAATGCTGGAGGACAGCAGGAGGCTGGGAGGCTGGGTCCAGTCCGCTCCAGGCTGGAGGACTGGGGAGCAGCAGGGAAGGAAAGGAGCACAGAGGGGATAGTGGAAGACAACTGGATAGGCATGCCCCGGAGCAACTGTGGGATGCTCAACTGAGACCTGGGAGAGGAAAGAGTGACATGCAGGGCTACCAGTCTGATCCTGTAGGGTCCTGGCCAAGAGGAAAGCAGATAAAGATTTCACAGGGTGACAGCTTGGCTGAGATGGACAGAGGGGATGCTCCAAGTAGGGAAAGAAGGAGAGGAGTAGTAGTGTGGGGTAGTGGGACTGGCCTGGGAGAAGCTGGAGACAGCAATGGGGCGGGAGGTCCTGGCACCCTGGAGTTTACTGGAGGAAGAGGTTCTGGCTCCAAGGCAGGTATGGGCCCTGAATCCTGGGATTCTCAGGGAGGTAGACATACTGACTATGGGGAAGCCTGGGGCTACTGGGGGTCAGGAGAGTTTCTAGGACAGACACTTGGAGACAAGGACTTCCAGGAACCATCAATATCAGGTGGTAGAAAATTCCGTCTGGGAGATGGGAGTCCTGAGATCAAAGCGGAAGACTCACTGCAGGAGGCAGATGGTCTGTGCAGGGGGGAATCTGTAGTTGGAGGAAGTGTCTATAAAACTGGCCCTGGAGGCCCAGGAGACCCCAGAGGCTGCGAAGGTGGCCTACAGAAGCTCAGGGGAAGGGATGACCAGGAAACAGCTTGGGCCTCAGGTGAGATAGGGGATGACCCCAGAAGCTTCCAGTCTTCCCAGGAGTGGACAGCAGGTCACAGAGCAGCAGGGAGTGTTGGCAGAATAGAATCTAAGGGCACAAGTCCTTGGGATGACACACCATCTAGCCTCAGAAAAACTGGAGCCCACTATGGGTCTGGAGTGCTGGGACCCAGTGGAGGGCAAGAGGGTATGGGTGGTACCCAGGTGGCTGGACTGACAGAGTCTGGTCAGGGGGTGGATGCCAGAAGCCGTGGGCTAAGTAGGTCTCCAGGCCTGGGTGCTCAGGGATCTGGGGGGATACTAGGAGATACGGAAGGATTAAGAGGTCCTGGGTCAATAGGGTCTGAACCAGATTTCTGGAATGGGTCAGGGAGCTCCAGAGTAAAAGGACCCAGAGGCTATAAGGATGACTTGGAAGGTCCTGGGAGAATGGAATCTAGGTACGAGGGTGGCTTAGGATATTCTAGGGGAATAGGCCCTAAAAGCGGGGCTGGTTATAGCTATGGCTCAGGGGTTCCAGGAGAAATGGGGTCTGGCCATGGTGCTGGTTGTAGAGTTTCCCCTAGGGCACCTGCAGGAATGGAGTCTGAGGAAGGGGGTGCATACAGGAATGGCTCTGGGGTGCCTGGGGGAGTGTGGTCAGGAAATGAAGAATCTGGCCCTGCAGGAGGAGGGTCTGGGAGAATTGCCAGTCTTAAGAATGGCTCAGGTGGTCCTGATGGAGCACCCGTGGATGACATCAGGAATTGGGCCTCTGCACGCCAGGGCGGCATGGGCCCTAGGGGAGGGCACCATTCAGATGGCGGCCTAGGGAGTCCTGAGATGACGGGGTCTGTGGGTAGAGGTGGTCTCAAGGCCCCTGGAGTAGTGGAGACTGTTGGGATGGGATGTGTGGAAGCAGAACCAGAGAGCTCTGGAAGAATAAGGCCTTGGAGTCAGACTGGCTTCAGAGCCTCAGAGGCCCTGGGGGCCTTTGGAGAAGGAGGCTATGAAGATGGCTCTGGGGGTCCAGAAGCCATGGAACCAGGGCCTCTGAGGGCAGGGAGCAAAGTGGGTGAGGGGGATGGGACAAGATGCCCTGGTGCTAGGGCCTGTGGAGCTGGAGCTCGTTACAGGGATGATCCCAGGCACCCTGAGGCACTCGCACCTCACACCGGGGCTGCTTCTGAGAGCCAGTGGGCTTATGGCGCTGGCAATGTGCTGGGTTATGAGGATGGATCAGAACTGCCAGGGCCTCAGGGAACTGGGGTCAGAACAGCCTATGGAGGAGGGTCAAGGGGCCTTGGGCCTAGGAGTACAGGACCAGGGGGTGAGGCAGGCTTTAGAGAGAGTTCAGGGGACCTCCAAGGAATGGGATCAGCAGATGGGCCGGGTTGTAGGAAGGGTATTGGGGGTTCGGGGGAAATGGGGTCAGTGGATAAGGAAGGTTACAGGGAAGATTTGGGGACTCCTGAGAATACGGGTTCGGGGAGCAAGGCTGCTTATAGGGATGGTGTAGGGGGTTCTGGGGCAATGGGGTCAACGGATGAAGCAGATTATAGGAGAGATTTAGGGGCTCCTGAAGGAATAAGTTCAGGGAGCAAGGCAGATTATAGGGGTGGTTTACAGGGTTCCAAGGAAATGGGTTCAGAGAGCAATGCAGATTATAGGGGTGGTTTAAAGGGTTCCAGGGAAATGGGGCCAATGGATGAAGCAGATTATAGGAAAGATTTGGGGGTTCCTGAGGGAATGGGTGCAGATTATAGGGGTGGCTTAAGGGGTCCTGGGGAGATGGGGTCAGTGGATGAGTCAGGTCATAGGAATGGGACTGGAGGTTATGGGGAAATGGGGTTGGGTTATAGGGAGGATGTGGGGGCTCCTGAGGGAATGGGCACAGGGAGCAAGGCAGGTTATAGCGATGGCTTAAGGGGTTCTGGAGAAATGAAGTCAATGGATGAGGCAGGTTATAGGAAAAATTTGGGAGCTCCTGAGGGAATGGATTCAGGGAGCAAGGCAGGTTACAGGGGTGGTTTAAGGGGTTCTGGGAAAATTGGGTTAATTGATGAGTCAGGCTCTAGGAAAGATTTGGGGGTTCCTAAGGGAGTGGGTTCAGGGAGTAAGGAAGGTTTTAGGGATGGTTTAGGGGGTTCTGGGAAAATGGGGTCAGTGGATGAGGCAGGCTACAGGAAGGATTTGGGGGTTTCTGAGGGAGTGGGTTCAGGGAGTAAGGCAGGTTTTAGGGATGGTTTAGGGGGTTCTGGGAAAATTGGGTTAATTGATGAGGCAGGCTCTAGGAAAGATTTGGGAGTTTCTGAGGGAGTGGGTTCAGGGAGTAAGGAAGGTTTTAGGGATGGTTTAGGGGGTTCTGGGGAAATGGGGTTACTTGATGAGTCAGGCTCTAGGAAAGATTTGGGGGTTCCTAAGGGAGTGGGTTCAGGGAGTAAGGAAGGTTTTAGGGATGGTTTAGGGGGTTCTGGGAAAATGCCGTCAGTGGATGAGGCAGGCTACAGGAAGGATTTGGGGGTTTCTGAGGGAGTGGGTTCAGGAAGTAAGGCAGGTTTTAGGGATGGTTTAGGGGGTTCTGGGGAAATGGGGTCAGTGGATGAGGCAGGCTACAGGAAGGATTTGGGGGCTCCTGAGGGAATGGGCACAGGGAGCAAGGCAGGTTACAGGGGTGGTTTAAGGGGTTCTGGGAAAATGGGGTTAATTGATGAGTCAGGCTCTAGGAAAGATTTGGGGGTTCCTAAGGGAGTGGGTTCAGGGAGTAAGGAAGGTTTTAGGGATGGTTTAGGGGGTTCTGGGAAAATGGGGTCAGTGGATGAGGCAGGCTACAGGAAGGATTTGGGGGCTCCTAAGGGAGTGGGTTCAGGGAGTAAGGAAGGTTTTAGGGATGGTTTAGGGGGTTCTGGGGAAATGGGGTCAGTGGATGAGGCAGGTTATAGAAAGGATTTGGGAGCTCCTGAGGGAATGGATTCAGGGAGTTATACAGATTACAGGAATGGTCTAGGCGGTTCTGGAAAAATTAGTTCAGGAGGTGAGGCAGGTTATAAGAATGTTTTAGGGGGTTCTGGGAGGATTCCATTAGGGAGTGAGGCAGGCTCTAGGGGTAGTTTGGAGGATTCTGGGTACATTTTGTCAAGGAGTGAGGCAGGTTGTGGGCAAGGCTTTGGGGGAACTGGTGGCATGGGGTCAGGGAGTGAGGTCAGTTATAGGGGAGGCTCAGGAGGATCTGGGGAAATGGGGCCAGAGGGTGAGATGGGTTATGGAGGTGGTTCAGGGAGGCTTGGAGTACCAGGCTCACTAGCTGGAATAGGACATGAGGCTGGACCCAGAGGCCACAAAGCCATGGGGCACAGGTCAGGATATTGGGTAACATCAGAGGGTGGCACGAGCTGCAAGGATGGTCCAGAGCGAGCCAGGGAAACAGGGCTTGTGGATGGGGCAGGACCTGGGGTGGAACCTGGGATGGCTGGAATGCTGGGCACTGCAGGTGGCATGGCACAGAGAGACAGCCCCAGGGTCCCAGGGGTGCTGGGGTCTCAGGGAGGGCCACAGACTCTTTCAGATGAGAGAGGCTCCACCAAAGATCTTGGGGGCTATGGAACCTCAGGGATCCCTGAGGCCTTGGAGGCTGCTGGTGACGAGGGAAAACCAGATGTCAAAGAATGGCAAGATAGTTCTGGGACTCCAGGGTCTTTTAGGGACAGAGGGGCTCCCAGGGCAAAGGATAGGTCTCCAGACCAAGCAGGGATCATGGGGTCTTCTGGGTTTCTTGATGGCAAGGGGGCAGTAGAAGGTGAAACCTGGGCAGGAATGGCTGCTTTGGGGTCTGGACATGAACAGGACATCTGGAAAGCAGGCCCAGGAATGACAGACAGGGGTAGAGTTGCTGGCCAGGGGAGACTGGCATCTCAGGGAGGCGGGGACTCACTTTTGGGAGGCAGAAGGATAGGCTCAAGGAGTTCAGCGGGGACAGGCCAGGATCTGGACAGCAGCTCTATGCCTGGGGAAAGGGGCAAGTCAACATCAGGGCCTGCTGATGGACTAGGAATGAGCAATGCCTGGGCTCCTGACTGGGAAAACCAGGGGTTTAGCCGAGGCAGCGTAGGTGCTGGGAAGCAGCCCGCAGGCTCCAGAGCTTCCGGTTCTCTGCAGGAAAAAGATGCCGCTTTTGGTGGGATCCATGAAGGGCCAGGGGGCTTAAAGGGCAGGGAGGGTGCACCAGGCCAAGAGGTGGCTTGTGGATGCCGAAGCCCATGGTCCCTGGATAGCAAAGGTTCAAGTCGTGGAAGGGGCAGTTCTGGTGGTGCAGAGGACTCAGGTATCCTGGGCAAGGGGAATTCTACTGAGCGGGGAAATGCTGTCATCCCAAAACCTGGGGAGTCAGGACCTCAGGGAGCCTGGAATGGCTTAGATGGTCCCTTTGGCAGAAGAGCCTCTGGAGATAGGTCAGGAGGGACCCAGGACCTGAGCTCTCAGCTAGGCAAGGGACAGAGAGGAGGAAAGAGGTCCCTCGGGGAACAGGGGTCCCTGGAGGCTGAGGATGGTGAGGTCCAGGATCCTGGGGCCCTAAAGGAGGATGAGGTACAGGGAGTGGAAGAGGCTGGGAGGTCAGGCAGGAGGCCTGGCTCACTTAGGAGCAGGTCTCAGGCACAGTCAGGGGCTGAGGTGGGAGGAGGAAAGAGAAGGGGAGCCGATGAGGCTGGAAGCATGGGATGGCAGTCTATGGGGGAGAACCGGGGGTGCCTGGAGGAGATGCTGAGTGAAGATCAGAGCCGGGAGCCCCCCAGTCACCTTGGTAGCAGGAGAGGTGGCAAAGATGGCAGTTTGGACATCTATGGAGAGAGGAGAGATGCTACCCAGAGTTCCACATCCAGATATAAGCCTGGCACTGGCAGTTTCTCCAAGGAGGCCCGAGGTAGGTGCTTCTCTGCTAAGCTGGCTCCCATGGGCTAGAGACAGTGGGGAGCTCCCTGGCCACTGGGATGCTTGGGTCTGTCCCAGTTCTGCCCCCGGCCCCAGGATTTTGTCCCTGCCAGTACTCCCCATTCTCAGGAACCTTTTGCAAATTTAGGAAGCAACCTCTTCCTCTTTATGAAGATGGGGTCCAGCCTGTGAGAGGCTCAGAGTTCTCCTAGGAGACCTCTTTGCTCTTGAAACCTTATGTCCACAGCACCAGAGTTGTTGACCCAACTCTCTGTGGGTTACCAGACTTCTCACCTGGGTGACTTGCAGCGGCGGGAGGAAGGGGGCCTTCGTATACCTTACACCCCAGGTCTCCTGGACCAGCCTAGGTCCTGCTGAGAAAAGCAGCAATGCTTGGGCTCCTGTCTAGGAAGACCAGGGCATTGGCACCAAGGCAGCATAGATGCTGGGAACCAGCCCTGCTGACACCAGCTGTGCCCAGTTGGCAGGACCATGGTGGCCTTGCAGGGCACAGCGCAGGCCATGGCCTGGGAGGCTCAGCTCTGGCGACCCCCTCTGTGTCTCTCCCGGCCCCATAGGCCACTTCTCCCAGGGCCTGGCTGACATGAAGGTGCAGCAGGGGGAGGCTGCCACACTCTCCTGTATCCTCACCAGTGACCTGGGACCCGGCACCTGGTTTAAGGATGGCGTCAAGGTACTGCCTCCTCTCACAGCTTCTCTTTACCAGCAGGAGGGACAGAGGTAAAGCAGAGAACAAGAAGAGGGTAGAGGCTTTGAAAGAAAGATTTTTCATTCTTCATTTTACTAATGTATCCACCTCAGGAGAAGTTTAAATAGCCAATAACTTGGTGTGTTTAAAATAAAATTGGATTTTTAAATGATGTGTATCCTGCGCCCTGCAGCACACCCCTTGTTCTTCCACCATCCAAAACGCCTCTTCTATACCCATACCTGCTGAATCCTACCCATCCTTCAAAGGCTTGTATAAATGCCATCTTCTCATCCCTACCAGAAGGGGGCCCACGTCTCCCTGCACAACCTCCCTGTCCTCCATTAAAGCTGTCACCCCAAGAGAAACATCAAAGTGACTCAGGGCATGAGGCTCAGTATCAGCTAGGTCTGGCTTCAGATCCCGGCTCTGCCACTACCAGTTATGTGACCTCAAGCAAGCTGGTGAACAGTCTGGCTTCCTCATCTATGAAGTGGGACTAATAATAGCACTTACTTCATAAGATTGTTAGACAATTAAATAAGGTGCTAAGCACAGAGAGCATTGGCACACAGTAAGCATTCCATTCACACAGCTGTTATCAGGATCCCAGCATCTGTAAAGGGCTCTGGTTAGCTGGCCTGGAGGAGCAGGGATGGGAATGGGGTGACCTTCTCCTGCTGTGGCCCTGTCTCCAGCTCACCGCCCAGGATGGAGTCATCTTTAAGCAAGATGGTCTCGTGCACAGCCTCTTCATCGCGCGCGTGCAGGGGACCCAAGCCGGGAGGTACACTTTTGTAGCTGGTGACCAGCAGAGTGAGGCCACTCTGACCGTCCAGGGTAAGGCCTAGCCCTGCCCTGCCCTGTCCCATAGTCTCTTTGTACCAGGTGATATGCCTTGCTTTAAAACACCTGAATTTGTGGCTACTCTGCAGCCAGTATCTAATCTCATCCCCAGAGAAGATGATTTAAAAAGCCAACTCATACTCTGTCTATTCCAGCATCTTAGCTCTTTCCTTGTCAGGAAGTCCTTGATGAGGTCTAAGCCTGGTCTCTCCCGCTGCAGATGAAGCCCCTTCCCTTTGTGGCAGGGCAGGGGATTCCTTAATCTTCCCCCAGACTTCCTTCTCTGCGTCCTCCTTTCTGCATTCCCCAGTGCCCAGTGCTCTGGTCTTTGACTCTCTTGTTTTATTTCCAGATTCCCCTACCATTGCTCCAGATGTGACAGAGAAACTGAGAGAGCCACTGGTGGTCAAGGCTGGGAAGCCGGTGACAGTGAAGATCCCCTTCCAGAGCCACCTCCCCGTTCAGGCTGCCTGGAGAAAGGACGGGGCCAAGGTGGTGGGCAGTGGTGACAAGGAGGCCCAGGTGGACCTGGGGGACCGCTACACACGGCTGTGCCTCCCCAGCACAGGCAGGAAGGACAGTGGCCAGTACAGTGTGACGCTGAGGAGTGAGGGAGGCTCTGTGCAGGCCGAGCTCACCCTGAAAGTCATAGGTACCAACCCCATCTTCCCCCAACCAAGGCCTGAGAGTCCCCAGGGTTGTGGGCCCTCCCTGCCATCAAGGGCAGGCCTGGGGTGTGATCTCTGGTGGCTCTGATCCTCATTTGCATGCTGTTTAAGATCCAGACCTACCCCTAATTCTGCTCAGACTGCTTAGGAAGAAGCAGTTGAGATCAACACAGTGCCGGGCTCCTGCTGGGTGGGGGGGAGCCGATTATGCTTCTCTGACCCCAATGCACTGGGCCCTCAGGAAGCTGCTGGGTAGGATGGCGGTCCCCAGCCCTGAGTGGTGCCAGCAAGGTAGGACTGCTGTGGGCCGAGCAGGTGCCCATACCAGCCCCCCGATGGTGGAACTGGGACGGGCTGGTGCACTCCATGGCACATCCCTGGGTGCACATATGTGTTGGGGGTGGGGACGTCTCAAGAGTGTGTGACCCTCTGGGTAATGCCCAAGGCTCTCTGGACAGTCTGCCCCATTGCAGGCTTATCCACTGATGAGTGGCAAAGGGGGGCGGGGAGCGGCGCCGTTCCAATCTAGCTCCTCTGACCCCTCCTCTTCCTGCTCTTCTCTGTGGGTCCCCAGACAAGCCTGATCCCCCACAAGGCCCCATGGAGGTTCAGGATTGCCAGAGGGCTGGTGTCTGCCTCCGCTGGCGGCCCCCAAGGGATGATGGGGGCCAGCCTGTAGAGTGCTACGTGGTGGAGAGACGGCAGGCTGGCAGGAGCACTTGGCTGAAGGTGGGCGAGGCCCCCGCTGACAGCACCACCTTCACGGATGCCCATGTGGAGCCAGGCAGGAAGTATGCCTTCCGAGTGCGGGCTGTGACCTCGGAGGGGGCTGGCGAGGCCCTGGAGTCTGAGGAGACATTGGTGGCTCCTGAGGGTAAGAGAAAAGTCTGGGGCTGGGGGTGGAGGACACTCCTGGGCTCCCCGCTGTGCCAGGGAGGGCAGGCTGTCCCAGAGGCTGAATGACACCAGCCTGTGCTCAGGGTTTTGGAGGCCCTTCTATAGCACTCTGGAGACTCCTTCCCTCAGCTGCATTTCGGATCTGGCACCCAGATGAGGAAGTGTTTTACAGAGTCTCCGGGAGTGAGGGTATGGGCCAGCAAAGCCTACTGTCTCACGCCCCAGGGAGAGAGGGGCATCCACCTCCAACATCCTATCAGGGGACCGGAGGCGGAGGGGCCTCAGGGCTGGCTCTAGGCTCCGAGGCCACGGTGCCACGGTGCCTTCTCTGTCTTTTCATTCCTTCCCTTGAATAGCTGGAACACTGACCTAGGGTGGGCTGGCTCAGCCCCGACACTCGCCAGGACTGGGAGGAGTGTGGCCTGCCCCAGATGCCCGTGCCTCCTACCCCCAGGGGCTCCCCGTGAGCCGGCACCTTTCAAGGCCTCTGGCTGACTGGAATCTTCCTTGCCCCCAGCTCTCCCCAAGGCCCCTTCCGCGCCAGCCATCCTGTCAGCCTCCAGCCAGGGCATCACGCTGACATGGACAGCACCTAGGGGCCCTGGCAGTGCCCACATCCTGGGCTACCTGATCGAGAGGCGTAAGAAGGGGAGCAACACCTGGACAGCAGTGAACGACCAGCCGGTGCCTGGTGAGCATTGTCCTGGCTTCCAGAGCTTCCTTAGACCGCTCCTGGCTCCAGGATGCCAGGAACTTGTCAGTTCAGATTGGTTTAATACAGTGGTTCTTATCTAGGGTGGTTTGGCAGTATCTGGAGATATTTTTCATGGTCACAACTGGGTGGAGGGTAGATGTTACTGGCATCTAGTGCAAAGAGGTCAGGTATGCTGTTAAACATCCTACAGTACACAGGACAGAACCCACCCCCTCCTCTCAAAAATCCCAAAGAAGTATCTGGCAAAAAAAAAAAAAAAATGTCAATCATGCTAAGGTCAAGAAGCCCTGATTCAGAAATCCCAGCTGGGAGCCAGAGATGAAGCTGTTAGCCCTGGCCCCTCCACTTCTTGCCTTGACCTTGGACAGTTCACTTCCTCTCTAGATCTGAATTTCCACATCCATGAAGTGGAGAAGAGGGTCCCCTGCCCCACTAAGTAGTTTCCTAAGAAACAAACTGCATTCTGAGATCAGAAAGAACTTGGAAAAGCCAACGGGCTGGGCAGATGCGAGGGGTCTTCTGGTAACCCTTAGCATTTCTTTGCTCTGCGTGCGTGCTGCAGAAGTCCAGGTTTGAGGAGGGAAGAACGGGCTCAGAACAGCTTGCCAGGAGACCTGGGTTCAGGTCATGGCTCTGCTACTTAGAAGCTGAGGCCTGTCAGGGCTTTAGTTTCCTTATCTCTGGAAAGAGAGATGAACAAAGGGCAGCCTTACGATTTCACTATTTAGTTATCCTGCTTTATTTAAATATGACAGCAACTCTGTAAGGCAGAGACAACCAGGGATATTAAGGTACTTGCCCAAGAACATCCAGCAAGTTAGTGGTGGAACCAGACAGGGACCCGAGGCCCCTGACGCCCTGAGCAGTGCTCTTTCCACTTTGGAGGGAACTGAGTCACAGCGGGTGGAGGGCTGTAGGGAGGAACGTGTTAGGACCCCAGGCTTGGTCTCCTTCAGAACTTGGAGGCACCCAAGCTATCTCCCCACGTCCAGCCCCATCCGGGTGGGACTCACACGAGCGGGCTCTTCACAGAGAGGAGGTGGACGGTGGTGGACCTGCGGCAGGGCTGTCAGTACGAGTTCCGGGTCACAGCTGTGGCTCCCCTAGGCCCTGGAGAGCCTGGACCCCCATCAGATGCCGTCTTTGCTCGGGACCCCATGAGTAAGTAGGGAACCAACCCAGGATGGGGGTGGGGGTGAGCATGGGATAGCCCTGAAGCTGGGTGGGACTTGATGGAAGGTCACAGGTCACAGGTCGGGGCAGTCTTGAAGGACATGATCAGGAGGGCTGAGATATAAAAATCAAAAGTCCTCTCGGGTGAGCCACATCTTAGGGCCCCTATATTGAGATCAAATAGGCCCAGAAGCCAGGCAGTGGTATTAGAAGATTCCTTCTCTGTCAAGCATAATGGTTCACACTTGTAATCCTAGTACTTTGGGAGGCAGAGGCAGGAAGATTGCTTGAGCCCGGGAGTTGGAGGCTGTAGTGAACTATGATTGCACCACTGCACTCCAGCCTGCATGACAGAGGGAGACCCTGTCTCAAAAATAATAATAATAATAATAAAACAAAATAAAAAGGGGGAGTTCTTTTCAGGATCACTTCACTTACTCTTTGGCCTCTAGGCAGGCCAGCCCCCAATCTGGCCCACCTGCTCCAGTCCCATAAGCATCCACTCACCCCTGTGTGCCCATCAGGCAGGGCGGAGAGCAGATGACAGGGGAAGCTCAGCGTCAATTCTCTATCCAATGAATATTTGCCCATCACCTACTAAATGGCCAGCATTGTGCCAGGAAGTAGATGAATCAATCCTGGTCTCTGCCCTTGAGAAACTTACAGTCTGAGATAGCATTTCCTATCTGAGACCTGTGGTCTTGAGAACATGGAGTGTATCGAGAGATGCCAACAGACATTCTGAGAACAACAGGAACAGCAAAAAATGTCTGTGACCAAAGATGTGTATGATGTGAGCCTATGATGTTTCCAAGTCCTGCAGGGGAAAAAAACCTGTCTAACCTTGATCCAAATCTAGCTTTTTCACAAAATACCTATTAAAAGCGTCAAAGGCATACAGCTTAGAAAATGCTGTTCTATATTTCTCATCCCCTAATGAGCCTGCCTACACCAAGTCCTCTGGGGAGCAGCACATTTCTGACACTTGCTGGATGGGCCAGGTGGTCAACACCTGGAGAGCACCTCTGTGCCCCACAGAGCCTAGCCCATTGCAGGTGTTCAGGCTGTTTGAATGAACCCAACAAGACCGGAACATTCTGTAAGTTTCATTGTTCAAGTGGTATCTGAGTTTTAGTCCTAGGAAGGGCAGGGTGTGGAATGGAGGGATGGGGGACGAAAGCTGGCCCATGCAACTTACTCCTTGCAAATGGACCAAGGCTGTCCTATCTTTTCTCTTTCTTTTCTTTTTCTTCTCTGTTCTTTTCTTTTCTTTCTCTCTCTCTCTTCTTTCTTTCTCTCTCTTTCTTTCTTTCTTTGTCTCTCTCACACTCTCTCTTTCTTTCTTTCTCTCTCTCACACTCTTTCTCTCTCTCTCTCTCTTTCTTTCTTTCTTTCTCTCTGACAGGATCTCACTCTTTTACTTAGGCTGGAGTGCAGTGATGCAATCTTGGCTCATTGTAGCCTTGAACTCCTGGCCTCAAGCAATCCTCCTGCCTCAGCCTCCTAAGCAGCTGGAACTATGAGCATGTGCCACCACACCCTGCTAATTTATGTTTTTGTAGAGACAGGGTCTCGCTGGTCTTGAACTCCTGGTCTCAAGCTATCCTCCTGCCTCAGCCTCCTAAAGTGCTATGATTACAGGCATGAGCCGTGGACCCACAGCCTATTAATCTCTCCTATCAGTGGTGGGAAGTAGAGACAATGGATAGGATAAGCAGTGTCTAACAGCAGCCACAGCAATCACTACATTTTCTGGATTCTTGCTGCTAAGCAAGGCCTATGGCCCAGCAACATAATCTTATTAGAATTTATGAGAAATGCTGAATCTCAGGCCTCACCCCGGACCTACTGAATAAGGGTCTGTATTTTTACCAAAATCCCCAGGTAACTTCTATACTAATCAAAGTTTGAGAACTACTGCCCTAGCCTAGTGGTTTTCAAACTTCATCACATATTTAGAAACACCTGGAAAATTCTTAAAAATGTTGATGCCTAGACTGCACCCCAGACTAATTAAATCAGAATCTCTGAGGTGGCATCTAGGTACCAGTATTTTTAAGCTCACCAGGTGATTCCACACTCATTGTGCTTTTTGCTTGTTCTAAAACCTCTGTGCGTAGGTGGGGCTATTATTATTGTTCTCATGTAACAAGTGGAGAACAAGAAGCCTGCACTGAGTACCCGAAAGGTAGAGTCTTGACTCTAAGAGTTTAGAGTCCAGAATAAAAACATGTAGAAGTCCAGTCTTACGGGATAATGGAACCCAAGAGGTCATCAACTAAAATCTCGGTTTTCTGGAATTACAGAAGGATAGTTAGGAGAAGGCATTTGGCAGGTTGGTGAATGAATGAGGGAAATGAGTTGGGGGAGGCTTCCTGGGAGAGGTGGCCTGGGATCTGTGTGCATAACGGAGACAAAGTGCTGGTTACAGTAAGAATTTGGAACAAGGTAGGTGCTTCAGGAAGAATCTAAAGGCAGAATTGCTAAGTGGAAAAACTTCCCAGTCTCCCACAAGGAAGGCTAATCAAAATCCACACTGAGTGGCCTCCCTCAGGAGATGCCATTCCTGACGCTCCCATGCTGCCTGGCAGGACCCCCTGGGCCGGTGAGGAATCTCCAAGTCACAGACACATCGAACACCAGCATCACTCTGAGCTGGGCTGGGCCAGACACCAAGGACGGGGACGAAGCCCAGGGGTATGTGGTGGAGCTGTGTGGCTCAGACAGTCTCCAGTGGCTCCCGTGCCATGCGGGCACCGTGCCAGTCACCACCTACACGGCCAAGGGCCTTCGGCCTGGAGAGGGCTACTTTGTGCGGGTGACAGCAGTTAATGAAGGAGGTCAGAGCCAGCCCACTGCCCTGGACACATTAGTGCAAGCCATGCCTGTTACTGGTGAGTGCTGCCTCCTTCCCCGACCTCTGAGCCCTGCAAGCTCCTCCTGAGAGGGGGCCCCTGAGTAGCCGCCATGCACTTGCTAAGCCAGGATCTCCACCCTCAGTTTCAGGAAGTAACATTTATTGAGCACCTACTAGGTGCTAGGCACTGGGCTAGGCAGTCCCTTCTTAGAAATGTTTTCTCATTACGACTCATAACTATACTACAACATTAATGTTTCTATTCTGAAGTTACAGAGAAGGAAACCGAGGTTCAAGGTACTTTGCCCACGTTGTCACCAATGGTATGTGGTAGAGCCAGGATTTAAACCTGGAGACTCCAAAGTTGATGTTATCTAGGAGAGAGAGTGGCTGCTTCCTGCACATGGCCTTAGAAGGCCTAAGTGCAGCTCAGCTCCTGTGGTTCACGTTCAGAATGGGACATGCCCAGGTCCCCATTATTATTGAAAAGAGGATTGTCTTTCCCTTTGGGCTTTAACCACTACAAGCACCTGACCTGCCTTTGACCCAAGCTGACACTGGGCCACCCCAGCTGACCCTAGTCATCACTGTGACAGTAGGGAGACACAAACACAGCACATGGAGTCCAGAGTCCCAGAATCTTGTCCTGGCTTTCTCCCGAACAAAGTGTGACCTCAGGCAAGTCACTTCCTGTCTTGGATTGGTGTCTATCTCATCTGCAAAACATAAGTGCTCTGCCACATATCAGCATCTTCCTCTGTTCCAGCCTAGTCCACCCCTCTCCCTGCAGGGTCCCTTTCTCAGCTCCTGTCCCTCCCCTGCTAGCATCTCCCCACCAGCCCCTGGGGTGCCCCCTGAAGATTCTGCTCCCAGCTGCACTCCAGTCCTTTAGAGGCCCCAACGTGTTGGGATCTCAGCATCCCAACTGGCTCATTCTTCCCCTCCAGCCCTGCCTTGCTGGGGACCTGGGGCTGGGGTCCAACTGGGAGGCAGAAGGGAGGTAACCAGTCCTCTTGTGTGTTTCAGTCTGTCCTAAGTTCCTTGTGGACTCCAGCACCAAGGACTTGCTGACGGTCAAGGTCGGGGACACTGTTCGTGTGCCCATCTCCTTTGAAGTGAGTGTACCTACAGGGGTGTGGGGAGGGAAGCCCAGAGAGGCCAAGGGGGCCAGACTCAGCCCTGTGGCTCTCTTTTCTTCCCTGTTCCTTTTTGGCCCCTAGTCAGTGTCCTGGGCTTGTGGGAATCAGGCGAGAGACATGAGGAAGGAAGGATTCAGGTCCTCCTTGAAGGTACCGCCCTCACTTGGCCACTGGGTGGCCATTCTGCTCCAGGCCTGCAAATCCCTCTAGTGGTAGCTTCTGCTACTGCACCTCCAAATTAAGGCTCTTCCGGTTCTCCACCTCTCCTAGTTTGGGAATTCAGAAAGCCGGCCATGCCGATGGTCCCCTTTGGCTTTGCAATGTATTTTTGTGCAATCACATGACCTACATTTGACTCAGGGTGATCCTTAACCAACGCTACCACCACCTGACTTTATAACAGTAGGGTGGTGGCTAAAAGTACAAACTGCCTGGGTTCAAATTTTGACGTCATCACTCACAGCCGTTTGACTTTGGACAAACATTATTTATTTATTTATTTATTTATTTATTTATTTATTTATTTATTTAGAGATGGAGTCTCACTCTGTCACCCAGTCTGGAGTGCAGTGGCGAGATCTTGGCTTACTGCAACCTCCATCTCCTGGGTTCAAGCGATTCTCCTGCTTCAGCCTCCGGAGTAGCTGGGATTACATGTGCCCGCCGTCACACCTGGCTAATTTTTGTATTTTTAGTAGAGCTGGGGTTTCGCCATGTTGGCCAGGCTGGTCTTGAACTCCTGACTTCAGGTGATCCACTTGCCTCGGCCTCACAAAGTGCTGTGATTACAAGTGAGAGCCTCTGTGCCCAGCCAGGACAAATATCTTAACATCTCTGTGTTTCACCTTCCTCATCTGTCAAAAGGGGATAATAATAGTAACCTATCTCAAAAGTCTGAGGGTTCAAGGAATTAATATATTGAAAGTGTATATGTAGGGCCTGGCATATGGCAGCACCCAATATGTTTTAATATTATTATTGTTTAAAATCATCATCATCTGTGTAGGAAGCTCATAGCACACAGAGCCAGATTCAAACCAGTCTATCTTACTCTAAATGACTTGTTCTTAACCACAATAATGATAGTGATAATGATGACAAAAATATTTAATGCACATTGAGTAATTATCATGTACTAGGTCTTGTTCTCTCTGCTTTCCATGTATTTATTATTAACACTTTAAATTCTCAGAACAATCCTGTAAGTTCAGTTAGTTACTATCAGTGTCTTCATTTGACTCTGGTACCCACCGTGCCCTGTACTGAGGGCCCCGTAGGGAACTGGCGGCACAGTCACCAAGCAGCTGGGCTGGCCTTCCCACCCTGCTCAGGGTCACCACAGTTCAAGGCCAGGACACCGAAATCTTCCTCCTAGACTTTTGCCAAATTATCTCCTATGTGGGTGCCAGGGTAGTTAACACTCCCCTCCCCACACATCCCTTCTCATTCCCATCCCACCCCCTGCCATGTGGATCCAGAACTCATTATGCCTTCCTGCTCAGAATCTGACAGCAGTGGCTCCTGGCTTACAGGATAACATCCAGATGTCTGTACAGGTGTGACGTGGAGGTCACTTTTCATTTTTGCCAAATCTCCTCGTCCAACTTCCTTTCCTGTTCCACTGCCCCCCTACCATCCCCATCTGCCAACCTCACACTTTATCACCACCCCTCTTTCCCACCTGTGTTTTCTTGTCTACGTTCTGCGTTTTCTTGCCAACTTTCTCCTTGTACAAGGCTCTTCTCACCACTTCTACCTTCAGCCTAGCTTAAATGCCATCACCTCCATGAAACCGCCAGCTGCCCTTCTCAACTTTTCCTTCCTCTCCTTTCTCAGGCCGTGCCCATGCCTGAGGTGACCTGGCTGAAGGACGGCTTGCCCTTGCCCAAAAGAAGTGTGACCGTCACTAAGGATGGCCTCACCCAGCTTCTGATCCCTGTGGCTGGCCTCTCGGACAGTGGTCTCTACACTGTAGTGCTGAGGACCCTGCAGGGGAAGGAGGTTGCCCACAGCTTCCGTATCAGGGTGGCAGGTGAGGCAGGCCTGGCTCTGGGCTCTGGACGCTGGTTTGGCCACTCACCAAGGCAAGGAGATGTCCACGGGTCTGGTCATAGGTCTCAGCCACTCTACCAGGGCTAGGTATGCAAGGTGACCATGCTCCACCTTTCCTCTGTGCTTGATGATACAAAGTAGAAAGGACCCCGGAAGCTCCCCAGGGACTTCCATTGTCCTTCTGCCTCAGGAGCCTAGAGACAGTCATGTCATGGCTCCTCTCCAACCTCAGTTATCCTTCCCTTTGAGTCAGTGAGCAGAGGCAGTCACCACTGTTACATCACTCCAAAGACCCAGGGGACAAAATTGTTTGCAGCCGTTGCACAGAATAAAGGCTTTCCTCCCCAGCTGTGGCTCCACACAACCCCTGCCCTGGAGGAGCTTCTGGATATCCAGAAATGATCAAATAGACTAACAGTGGGGGCTCTGTAATGCGGCCTCATGAGAGCCCTGCCTCTGTCCAAAAATGCATGTTTTGTCCTGTGTCATTTTACTTAAAAACTGAAGTGAATTATAATTACTCTTTTGGGGAGATTTTCTACCCTCTAGAGATAACTGTGGACATCTGGCCAAACTCACTCTGGCCCCAGCTACCTGTGTGGCAAGACTGCATTCCCCAGGACCCTTAGAAGACTTGGGACCTGGAGGGGGCTGGCAGCAGCCCTGCTGGGTCCCCTCCACGTGACCTCCCTCTGCCGTCTCTCTTGAAGTATGTCCGCAGGCACCTGGGCCCATCCACCTGCAGGAGAACGTGCCTGGGACGGTGACGGCTGAGTGGGAGCCCTCTCCGGACGAGGCCCGGGGTGTCCCGCTACACTATACAGTGTTCACACGCTCCTCGGCACATGGCCCCTGGCGCGAGGCAGCCGACCGCATCCACACCAACCGCTTCACCCTCCTGGGCGTCCTCCCTGGCCACGAGTACCACTTCAGGGTGGTGGCCAAGAATGAGCTGGGGGCCAGCAAACCCTCGTACACCAGCCAGCCCTGGTGCATCCCCCGGCAGCGTGGTAAGCAGCCCCTGAGAGGGAGGAGGAGGCAGGGTGGGGGTTGCACTCTGCAGTGCAGCGGGATGCTCCCAAGCATGGCAGGTGCACAGGATAGGGACTGTGGCAGAGATGGCCTGGAGCATGCCAAATAACAGCCAGCATCCCTGAGCTGCTGCTCCTCCCTCTCCTGCCTCACACCTACCTGTACTGACATCCTCTGCACCCCTGACCTCCGTGGGGAGAATGAGATTGGTGTGGGTGTTTGGGTGTCTGAGGTGCCTTTGGGAGGATTTTCAAAAGCAGTCACAGACAATAAGGCAAATAGAGGTTAACATTTCTCTAAAAACAAAGTGTATTTTACAGCAAGGTAGATGTGGACCTTAAGATCAGTCACTAGAAGAGCAGGCTATAAAATCAAATGAAGGTTTCTTTTTCATAAAATACAAAAATGTCAGGAAAGCTCTACACCAAAATGTCAGCTATGGTCATCTACAGGTAGTGACATTATGACTGGTTTTTATTCTTTCTCCTTTGATTCTCGGTGTATTCTCATTGTCCACAGTGAATGTGTGTTAGCTACCAAAAAATCCATAAAGTAAAAAAAAAAAATCCATAAAGAATTTTGGGAAAAGGATAGAATGAGGCAAGCCTTGGGGTCCAAATTTGCAGGCAAGATGTGGCAGGAAATCCCAGGTAAGGCCTACATGGTAGTGTCTTGAGCTCTCTACCCAGACTCGAGTCTCAGCCAGGCCTTCCTCACTTTCTCACCCTCCTCCCTCTCACCCCGGCTTTCACCACAGACAGGTTCACAGTGAAGGCTCAGAGCTACCGGGAGCCCGACCTGAGCCAGAAGCCCCGGTTCCTGGTGGGCCTGCGGTCCCATCTCCTGCCCCAAGGCTGCGAGTGCTGCATGAGCTGCGCCGTGCAGGGCTCGCCCCGGCCCCACGTCACCTGGTTCAAGAACGACCGCAGCCTGGAAGGAAACCCCGCAGTGTACAGCACTGACCTGATGGGCGTGTGCTCCCTCACCATCCCCAGCGTATCCCTGAAGGACAGCGGCGAGTACAAGGCTGTGGCTGAGAACACGCTGGGCCAGGCAGTCAGTACTGCCACCCTCATTGTCATAGGTAATGGTGGCTGCCCTGGCAGTGGGACAGGAAGGAGAGCCAGTAGAGCAGTCACCTGCCTGCCTTCAGGGAGCCTCCGGGGGGTGCCTAGAGGGATTCAGCGGGGAGTCAGGAGACCAGGACTCTCTGCCTGACTCTATGAACTTTCAGCTATTTAACCTACCAACACAAGCCCACATGTGGTCTCGATTTGCCCACTTTTTAAAAAAAAAATATTGTTATTGTTATTCTTATCATTATTATTATTATCGAGATGGAGTTTTGTTCTTGTTGCCCAGGTTGGAGTGCAATGGCGTGATCTCGGCTCACTGCAGCCTCCACTTTCTGGGTTCAAAATATTCTCCTGCCTCAGCCTCCCGAGTAGCTGGGGTTACAGGCATCCGCCACCACACCTGGCTAATTTTTTTGTATTTTTAGTAGAAGCAGGTTTTCGCCATGTTGGCCAGGCTGGTCTCAAACTCCTGACTTCAGGTGATCCACCTGTCTCAGCCTCCCAAAGAGCTAGGATTACAGGCGTGAGCCACTGTGCCTGGCCGATTTGTCCACTTTTAAACTGAGGTATTTGAACTTGGTGAGCAACTCTTGATTGAAAGGCTGCGTACTGCCCACCTGAGCTTCCCAGTGGGGCCACACGACACATTGCAGGCTGAGAAATGAACAGGCGTCCGTATTGCTCTTTCTTAAATATGTCGAGATATGGACATTTAGTGCCTAGAAAGCCATGCTGATTCTCTCATTGGTAGTCTCCTTTTCAGTACTGCAGATAATATATGTTAATAAAGTTTTTCCTTCAATAGTACTTAAAACACCTTATATTTTGAATAGTTATAAAAGGCAAGCCTCAGGTGACCTTTGTGGAAAAACGACCCCTCTGCACTGGAGCAGAGTATCTGTCCTCTCTGCAGCGCCCATGCTTAGGCATTAGGAAGCCATTCTCGAAGCACCCCAGCTCGTGTACACATGTAGTCCCGGAACAAAGCTGGCATTGGGTGTGGCTATGGTTCCCCGAGGGGCCAGCAAAGGGCTTTGCCCAAGCTCAGAGAGCACATGGTGGCTCCGGATTTGAATCCACACCCCTGATGGCAGAGCCTGTAGCCTAAGCACCATGCTGAGTTTTCTTCACCACTGAACAGGTGTGGGGCAGGGTGGCTGCCCCTCTGGACCCACTGGAATATCCTGTGTCTTGCAGAACCCAGCGCCTAGCCTCACCTCACCCTGGGATGGTCCTGGACCCTTGAAGCTTCACTTCTGACACCTGCACTGGCCTGGGAGGCCAATCCCAAGGATGGAGGCTGTGCCCAGAGCCCCAGGAAGACAGGAGTGAGAAGACTCCTGGTGAGGTTTTGGCCAGGAGGACATGAAGTCCTTGGGGAAGAAAAACAAGGGAGGAGGCCATTCTGCCTCCTGGCTCCAGGCTAAGTCACTCAACGGAATGACAGTGAACCTCCTGGACCCTCATCATATGGGTTTCTTTCTTCTTCGCTTCAGGAGATCCAGAGGGCACCTGCCTGCAGGATGGGCCAGCTCCTTATTTTCCTGGGCTGAGCCCCTTGGAGGGAGGGTGGTCACAGCTGGGCCTGCTGTGACCACAGGGAGTGAAGAAGAGAGGAGGTCAGAGGACCTGGGTGAGGACTAGGGCATCAAGGGTGTGTGTGTGGTGGGGGCAGGGGTGTGGCATGTGCTTTCTGTACATTTCTTCATTAAAACGTTAGGCTAATACGGGCAGATCATTTGCAAATTTACTTGGGGTGGGTGTGTTGGAGGAAAGATTTCCAAAGCAGAGCCTTTATTCCAGGCTTCAGTTGGGAGGATGGGTGGGTTCTGGATGGAGGGGAGAATGGGCTCAGAATTGGACTCTTCTCCTGCAGCCCAGGCCTGCATAGTTGATTGCAAGGGTGAGAAAGCCAAGAAAGGTTAGAGGGTGATGGAGATGCTTCTCTTCCTCCCGGCCCGTGTTTCCTGCACTCCTCTGACTGGCAGAAATTCTGTGAGCAGCAGGGCTGGAGGCCTCCCCAGGTGTTATATGTGTGGAGACCACAGGGCTGGGGTTACCTAGGGCTGTCCTATGTCTGTCACTCCCTCGGACTAGAAAGAGTCTGAGTTGGGGAGAATCCTACTCCAGGATCTGAGCCCCTGTTAGAAGGGGAAGAAAGAGGCCATCAAGTGCATGAGGGTGTGACTCACTCAAGGCTGCATGAGCCTCCTCACCTTCTCCACAGCCCCCACTGCCCCATGTCACAGGAGGGATGGGATGACTCCCTTTCCCAGGTAGGTCACCCCACCACTGTCCCCAGAACCCTTGCACTCCATTATCTTCAAGTCATGGCCCCCAAAATCTCAGGCTCCCCAGAAATATTCCAGAGTTTCCAGGAGCCAAAAGAAAGGAAGGAGCCCCGGGGAAGGCTGAGCCCCACTCTCTCCCAGGACATCAGCTCTGAGGTCACCAGCAGGTGACCTGATGAGCTAGAACACTGTCTGCCCTTCAATCCTTCTGCTCAGATCCTGGCTTCTGCTTCCCTCAGTCTCCCTTTGCCACCAATTGCAGGTCAGATGCATGAAGGAAGGAGGGTGAATCACGGGAGGAGGGGTTAATGCCAAAAATCCGTTTCTGAAGAGTGAGAATATGTGACCAAGGGAAGGTTCTCTGAACCGGAGAGAGAACTGTTCACCCAAAACAGACCAAGAGTGTCCCCCAGAGGCAGGGGCACAGACCAGACGACCTTTTACAGCTCATTCCTTCCCCCACCAAAGAAACCTGCATAAGCTGTTTTCCTTGGAATTTCTCTTGTTATCTCTACCTTGCTATCACAGCAGGCCAACAGCATGGCCATGGGAAAAGAAGGAGGTGATTAGAAACTGAGAGGCAGTGGCTGGACACCTCAGCCTGTGTGGGGCTATTCTCATGAGTGCTTTCCATGCTGAGCAGTCCTGGAGTTGAAGGAGGGTAGGGCCTCAGGCCAATAGTCTGTGGTTTCAGAAATGCAGAGAAGTCGTTTGCACAGAGAGGGTGACCCAGTGCCTGTGGCATGCCTAGCTCTGAGGAGACACTCATATTAAGGATGAGAAGAGAGACCTTTCTGCACCTCTAAGGGTGGGGTACAAGGAACTGACCTTTCAAAGCAATATAGGGACAAAAGACTATAACCCACGATGGCTTCATGAGACACTTTCATTTGTTCGATGAGCCTGGATCAGGCACTGTGGAGGCAGAGATGAAGGTGACTCAGATATGAGTCCTATTGCCAAGGGACCCATGGCAGGGAGGCAAGACTTGTATACCAAGAACCATTATTCAAGGTAGCCTGTGATGCATACTCTAAGAAAGGCACCAATAAAGTCCAGAGGAGTTCAGAGGAGGAGAGATGCTGCAGGCTGAGAACCTCAAGGAGGGCTACCTAAAATGGTAACACACTTGAGGCAAAAGTAGCAACTGGACAGGCAGGAATGGGCAAGGGTGTATCGGGGTGGAGAACACCATGAGCAAAGGCAAGGAGGTGTGAAGCAAAAATTGGGTTAAAGGACTGCAAAGTGGTTCAGTTTGGACAACTTAGGGTGACCTATGTAGCAATCACAGCCCTTTGGTCTAATGCCAAAGAGAAACATTCCTGGACCAAATTTACAGGTGTATGTGTGCTCTGGGCACCATCCATGATGGAGGCAGAGTTCCTACTCTCACAGGACTGGGACAGTGGAAAGCAGTGGTCTTTTTTGGCAGTGGACAGTAGAATGCCAATATCCTGGGGCAGGCCAGGTTAGGTGTCCCTGGGAGGGGCTAGCATACTTCTGTAACTGGGGTGGGATATGAAGGCAAAAGGAACAGTCATGGCATTTTCATTCATTTCCACACAAAGCCAAAAAAAGTCCTTGCCAGTCAAGTATAGAATCTGAGTGTATCTCAAAATATTAAGAGCTATTTATGACAAACTCACAGCCAATATCATACCGAATGGGCAAAAACTGGAAGCATTCCCTTTGAAAACTGGCACAAGACAAGGATGCCCTCTCTCACCACTCCTATTCAACATAGTGTTGGAAGTTCTGGCCAGGGCAATCAGGCAAGAGAAATAAATAAAGGGTATTCAATTAGGCAAAGAGGAAGTCAAATTGTCCCTGTTTGCAGATGACATGATTGTATATTTAGAAAACCCCATTGTCTCAGTCCAAAATCTCCTTAAGCTGATAAGCAACTTCAGCAAAGTCTCAGGACACAAAATCAATGTGCAAAAATCACAAGCATTCCTACACACCAATAATAGACAGAGAGCCAAATCATGAGAGAATTCCCATTCACAATCACTTCAAAGAGAATAAAATACCTAGGAATCCAACTTACAAGGGATGTGAAGGACCTCTTCAAGGAGAACTACAAACCACTGCTCAATGAAATAAAAGATGACACAAACTGCTCATGGATGTCAAAAGACGACACTGCTCATGGATAGGAAGAATCAATATCATGAAAATGACCGTACTGCCCAAGGTAATTTATAAATCCAATGCCATCCCCATCAAGCTACCAATGACTTTCTTTACAGAATTGGAAAAAAATACTTTAAAGTTCATATGGAACCAAAAAAGAGCCCGAATATCCAAGACAATACTAAGCAAAAAGAACAGAGCTGGAAGAATAATGCTACCTGACTTCAAACTATACTACAAGGCTACAGTAACCAAAACAGCATGGTACTGGTACCAAAACAGACACACAGACCAATGGAACAGAACAGAGGCCTCAGAAATAGCACTACACATCTACAACCGTCTGATCCTTGACAAACCTGACAAAAACAAGAAATAGGGAAAGGATTCCCTATTTAATAAATGGTGCTGGGAAAACTGGCTAGCCATGTGTAGAAAGCTGAAACTGGATCCCTTCCTTATACCTTATACAAAAATTAATTCAAGATGGATTAAAGACTTAAATGTTAGATCTAAAACCAAAAAACCCTAGAAGAAAACCTAGGCAATACCATTCAGGACATAGGCATGGGCAAAGATTTCATGACTAAAACACCAAAAGCAATGGCAACAAAAGCCAAAGTAGACAAATGGGATCTAATTAAACTAAAGAGCTTCTGCACAGCAAAAGAAACTACCATCAGAGTGAAGGGGCAACCTATATAATGGGAGGAAATTTTTGCAATCTACCCATCTGACAAAGGGCTAATATCCAGAATCTACAAAGAACTTAAACAAATTTGCAAGAAAAAACAAGCAAGCCCATCAAAAAGTGGGCGAAGGATATGAACAGACACTTCTCAAAAGAAGATATTCATGCAGCCAACAGACACGTGAAAAAATACTCATCATCACTGGTCATCAGAGAAATGCAAATCGAAACCACAATGAGATACCATTTCACACCAGTTAGAGTGGCAATAATTAAAAAGTCAGGAAACAATAGATGCTGGAGAGGATGTGGATAAATTGGAATGCTTTTACACTGTTGGTGGGAGTGTAAATTAGTTTAACCATTGTGGAAGACAGTGTGGCGATTCCTCGAGGATCTAGCACTAGAAATACCATTTGACCCAGCGATCCCATTACTGGGTATATACCCAAAGGATTATAAGTCATGCTACTATAAAGACACATACACACGTATGTTTATTGCAGCACTGTTCATAATAGCAAAGACTTGGAACCAACACAAATTTCCATCAGTAATAGACTGGATTAAGAAAATGTGGCACATACACACTATGGAATACTATGCAGCCATAAAAAAGGATGAGTTCATGTCCTTTGCCGGGACATGGATGAAACTGGAAACCATCATCCTCAGCAAACTATCACAAGGACACAGAAAACCAAACACTGCATGTTCTCACTCACAGGTAGGAATTGAACAATGAGAACACTTGGACACAGGGTGGGGAACATCACACACTGGGGTCTGTTGGGGAGTGGGGGACCGGGGGAGGGATAGCATTAGGAGAAATACCTAATGTAAATGATGAGTTGATGGGTGCAGCAAACCAACATGGCACATGTATACCTATGTAACAAACCTGCACGTTGTGCACATGTACCCTAGAACTTAAAGTATAATTAAAAATAAAAAAAGAATCTGAGCATATGTTTAAGGGTTTAAAGACTAGTTCTGCTGCTAACTAGTTGTGCAAGATCTTTAACCTATTTATGTCTTGTTCCTCATTTGTAAATTAAGAATAACAGTTGCCTAATCCAAGGTCACAAAGATTTTTCTCCTGTTTTCTTCTAGAAGTGTTATGGTTTTACTTCTTTCATTTCATTCTATGCATTTTAAGTTAATTTTTGTATGTGGTGTGAGGTATTAAGAGTCAAGCTGTGTTTTTTTCTTAGAGTTTCTTTTTCTCCATTGAATTACCTTGGAATGCTTGTTGAAAGTCAATTAACCATATATGCGTGGGTCGACTTTTAGACTACTACTTATTCCTCTTCTATTTTCTGGAAAAGTTTGTATAGAGTTGATGTTACATCTTCGTTAAATGTTTGGTAGAATTCACCAATAAAGCCACTGGACCTGGAGTTTTGTTTGTGGGAAGGATTTGACCTAAGACTCAATTTTTTCAGCAAATATATAGGGCTCTCCAAGCTACCAATGACTTCCTGAATGACCTTTGATAATTTGTGACTTTTAAAGAATTTGTCAATTTCATCTACATTGTTGAATTTGTTGGTACAAAGTTGTTTATAATATTCCCTTATAATCATTTTGCTATCTGTAGGCTGTCTAGTGATAT